GCACGGATACGGAGGAGGACGTGGGGCGAGGGAGCGCGAACCCTCAGCGCATGCTCTTGCCTTTGGGCGCGGGGTGGGCTCCGAGGCTGGGACGGGAGCCTCCAGAGGCAGTACAGAACGCACGCGGCGTCTCCACACACACACTTTGGGGAGCCCAGTGGGTTACAAGGCCTGCGGAGAACATACCCAAGAGATCCCAGGGCTTCAGGCGCAGACAACGTGGACAGGAGCGACCCTGCAGACAAGGATGCGAAGATGGTTTCCGCAAAGGGGGCATCGACAGTTCGAAGGAAAGCTAGACAGTCCTCGCGTCACCCAGGTGGCTGTGCATTTGCACTACCTCCTGGGGACGAAATGGCCCGATTGCGGTTGACCGACAATCTTGAGCCCGCTCCGCCGCTTGAATCTGCTGATGGCCGTGTAGCCCCAGGCGGGCGGACACCAGCTCTCAAACAGCACGACGCCAGCCTGGAACTCGCTGCCCTCCGCTCTGTGGCACGTCATGGCGTAAGCCAGGGCCACATCGAAGGCGCCGCGACGACACAGACGCCCGTCGACGTCCGCGTCCTCGTAGCGGCGGTGCAGCGTGATGTGCTTGCCTGTGTCCATACGGAGCTCCAGGCCCCAAGCGGCCAACTCCAGCAGGGTGCCCGTCGCTCCGTTGTACAGGTCGTCCAGCACATCAAGGTTCCTGGTGACCTCCACGCGAGCACCTCTGTGGAAGGATTGGTACTCGATGCAGTCGCCACGCCACACGGCCACGGTCCCGAGCACCTCGCCTGCGAGACTGTGCTGCGCGAGGCGGTTGACTCGGTCCACAGTGGCGATGGTCGCAGCGATCGTCACCGCAGCGGCGTTGTCCTGGAGTGCGTTGACGATGGCTTCGTCTGTGACGTCTGCGCTCGTCACGCACTCCTGTAGCACGTCTGCCACGTAGGACGTGCTGGGGCGGTGCTTGCGTACATAATTCAGGAAGCTCATGAGCTCCGCGTCGTCGCACCGAAAAGATGCATGTGTGAGCTCGTGGCGCGGGATCGGCGCCCAGAATTGGCAGCCGCGGATATCTTCCTCGTCGCTGCCCACAGGAGGCAGCTGGCGGAAGTCGCCCTCGAAGAGCAGCACGGGGCGCTTGTCGGTCATCAGGTAGTGCTGCCAAATACGTGTGCCCATGGACTTGGAGACCATGCCCACCTCGCCTATGACCCACACGGAGAAAGAGCTGACGGAGTCGTTCAGTGGGCAGGTGGGCGAAGCCGTGGGCCAGAAAGCTCGATGACACGTCATATCAACGATGGACTCGCCGTGCGGACAGTTGGCCACCAGCTTGCCCGTGGGATGCGTGCGCAGGACGCGCAAGCCCATCGCAACAGCCTCGTCGACGATGCCGCGGGTAAGAGCAGTCTTCCCCGAGCCAGGACCACCGGTGAGGAAGGCGGAGAAAGGCGCAGGGTCTGATATCTCTGTGTCTGCTCTTTCCTCCAAGGCATAGCGACAGGTGTTGAAAATCTCCTGCTGCACGTCCGTCCACTGCAAGCGGTTCTCCGCGCGCGGCAAGCTGTAGTCCAAGGGCACCTCTCCCGCGAGTTGCTTGCGCATGCCGCTCACTAGACAGCGAGCACGGCCCACCGCAGTCTGGACGTACTTCTCTTTGCTGCCGCGCAGGCGGAAGAAGTCGGCCACGAAGCTGTCGTCATCCCACGTGCCTGGGCAGAGATGCACGGCGGCCGCGAGGGAGCGGTAGCGCTTGTCCACCCGCCACATGCTCTCATGGCATAAGTCCCGCAGGGAACGCCAAGGACGATGAAGCTGGAGCCATTGCCAGAAGAAGGCGTCGCTGAAGAACCTGCGCCACTGCACGCCCACGCAGAACAGCACGTCGTCTTTCCTCGGCTTGGCCACGAGCTCTCCGGCAACCTTGACCACGGCGTGTTTTCGAAGCCAGACCTTGAACGACATGTCCTCCATGCCCTGGCGGCGCTTGTAGAGGAACCGCTCGTCGTCGTCAGAGCTGCCCCAAACAAGTGGTCGGTATTCCCGACAGCCCACGCTCGTCATAGCCATGCCGCCGTGGCCCAGCACCATGGCCATCTCACAGGCGTTCGCCCGCCAGTGGCTCATCGCATTGAGAGCTGCCTCCCAAGCCGTGCCCGTGTCGTCCAGCCACTCAGCCTCCCAGCTCTCGGCGAGTTTGGTAACGTAGCCAGTAACGTATGTGAGCAGAGGGAAGGACGTGGTCCACCACTGGGCGTCTCCGTGGCAACGAAAGACCCTCAGCAGTGCTCGCAGGAAAGGGCGCAGCCCTGCACGGCGAAACTCTTCCGAGTGGCAAAGGCGCAGATACCAACAGCGGCGGGCGCGGCTCCAGTGCCACTCGCTGGGACCCTCATGCACGGGCACCTTGGCATCGGAACCGCTCTGAACTCGCCGAGCCAGTGCGCAGAGTTCTGCGTCGTCCTGTGGGAAGTGGGCGCAGAGCAACGACTCGAGGCTCACACGGCGGACGTTCCAAAACCAGAAGATGGCGTGGACGTGCAAGGAGCCGCGGCCTTTGCCATACGTGTGTGATGGCCCCCCGTCTTGGTACTCGAATCTGGCAAAGTATTGCCGCAGACCCTGCCCCTGGCCCGTCTTGTCGCAGAGCCAATGTTTTTTCCAACGCTTCTTGCCCGTCCCGCAGAGAAACCCAGCGATGGTCTCGCGCAGAGCGTGGGCCACAGCCAGGGTCTCCGCAACCGTCGCAGAGGTGGGCCCAGCTCGGATCTGGTCGTGAATCAATCGCACCCATTCTGGCCACGGAAAGCTCCACTCGTAGGGCGAGATTGTTATAAACATGTGGGGAGCACCAATCTGCTCCACACAATCTACCAAAGCGGAGTGGTGCTTTTGCCAATATCCTTTCGACCAGGCTTTGTCCCGAACGGTCAGCGAGGCATCAAAGCCGCCCTGCTTCGCCACGGAGCTCCGGTGGTTCACAAGGTTCAGCACGTAGCGGTCAAATTGAAACTGAAGAAGCGAGTAGTCGCAGGCGTAGTCGGCAATGCCAGAGCATGCTTTGACCAGGAAAGCAGCCTTCTTGGACGCCCAGTCTTTGCCGCTGACGACCGACTCGCAAAAGTGCGGCTTCGGGTATAAGTGTGGCCAGAGTGCACACTCCAGGTGCTCCTGAAGCAAGTAACTGGGCTGCAAGCTCCTCGGACGCCCAGATCGGAGTCCACGAGCGTGTTCGTCATCGAACCTGCAGTACGCCTCGTTGTTGGCCCGTAGCCACGTGTAGGCCGCCAAACCCGCTCTCCTTTGAGACGCCGGGAGCGCACGCAGCTTATCCAGCACAGAGACAGGAGCCCAGGAAAGACCTGTCCGCTCGGCTTTGCGAATGTAGCCATGAGGATGCTGTGTCGGAGCGCCCTGGTGAACAACAATGGGCCTCAGTGCGAAGAGCGTCTGCTGATCCAGACCTTTCAGCTTCGCCGGAATCTCTGCAGCCGTCGGGACAAAGTAGCGCTGGCCGTGGCTCTGGCGACAGGCCCAGCAGTCCCGGCGCAGACGTTGCTCGTCCAGGACCTTCTGCGGGTTCCTGAGCTCCCCCTCGGTGAGATCCCTGCGGCAATAGACGCCGCAGGAGCCACACTGGCCCCAGGAGCAATATTGAAGCCACAGTCTGAGATGAACTTCGGACTCCGACCACCAGCCCACATCAATCTCTGGAAAGCCGTGTAGACGCCACTCCTGGGCAGCAGCGGCAGGTCGCGAGGCAATGCTGCAGATGCTGTCCAGCCGCCTGCGCCAATGCCGTTGCCAAGGCGCCGCCATGGGCAGCTCCAGCTGGCGCTTCATGATACTGCTGCTGGAGACCAGAATACGCCAGAAACCAAGCCCAAGGTGACTGGGCGAGGTCGCAGAAGCTATGCTTCGAGGCAAAACACTACGGACGATCACAGCCACCGAAGAGGACGAGAACACAGGCGTGTCCAAGGAGAACGGAGCAGGCGGCAGTGGCTTCGAAGTCCATCATGTGGACCCGCTCAGATCCCACTGCTTCCACCGGCTTCCGCGCCACGATCCGCAGGATCGCAGCTGACCTTCGCCGACCTGCCGCCAGGATCCTGCGTCCACAGAACGGCGGCGGCGGCGAGCGACCAGCGACAACCTTGGCACCATGTGGAAGCGTTGCGCGTTCTCGTGGTGTTTGTGGAACCACCAGAAAAAAATTGAAAAGAAGCCCCCTCCCCTTACAAGACTTGGTTTCTGATCTCTCCTCGGTGGTTGCCGTTCGTCGCTTCTGCCGGCGGCGGCGGCGGCGACGGCGACAGCGACGACGACGGCGGCAAACAAAGGCAGCGACGGCGGCGGCGGCGACGACCGCGACGGCGGCTGCGGCGAGGTACCAGCAGCAACCCTGGCACCCTTTCTCAGCGTTGCGCGTTCTTCTGGATTTTTTGGCACCGCCAGAAAAATTTTGAAAAGAACCCCCCTTCCCTTACAAGACTTGGTTTCTGGCCTTTGGTGGTAGCCGTTTGTCGCTTCTGCTGGCGGCGGCGGCGACGGCGACGGCGACGACGACGGCGGCAGCGACAACGGCGGCGCCGGCGACGACCGCGAGGACCTCGACGGCGGCGGCGGCGAGCGACCAGCGGCAACCCTGGCACCCGGTGGGAGCATTGCGCGTTGGTAAGGTTTTTTTTTTTTGGACCCACCGGAAAAATTTTGAAAAAACCCCCCTTCCCTTACAAGACTGGGATGCTGGCCTCTCCTCGGTGGTCGGCGTTCGTCGCTTCTGGCGGCGGCGGCGGCGACGGCGACGGCGACGACGACGGCGGCAGACTGCGGCGACAGCGGCAGGAGAAGCCCCCAAGATGCCAGACAGAGAGCCTCCAGGAGAAACCAGGCTGCCCCAGAGAAGCACGCCCACCAGAACCAATCTAGAACCGGAAATCCGGAGAGAGCGGCCCCCGGACCCCTCGTGGAACCCTTCTGCCGGCAGTGCCAGCGAGCTGCCGCGA